TATTTCAGCACTGAAACAATATGTGAAGGTATGTATATACAACGAATTTTGACTTTAAATTTTATTAGTGCTGTGCTTTCAAACAAATTAAGATATTCAGATTCCTTGTTCGTGTACAGTAAGAAAATGTACGCTAATAATAACATAATAAAAAAAAATATATGGGAAATATACTCCTAAAACATAGTGATAAACACATGAAAATAAGGAAATCAAATTTGAAAATTCTTTAAATATCAACTGCATGATAAAATACAGTACATTCCTGTTTAATGAAATAAACCACAGACTTATTTGCTAACATTGATCTTCATAAAGGAAATGATATTTTTCTGTCATTATTATAGTAATTACCTATTAAACTTTTGATTATTGTCCATACTACAATTCCAAGAAATCGAAGGGGTTATTGAGTGTTCCAGCTAGTGACTGTGATTGTTGAGGTGGAACAGGTGATGCAGAAACTGTAGGAACTGGTGAGCAAGGTTGAATAGGAGATGAATGACCACTGAAATGTGATTGTTGAGGTGGAACAGGTGATGCAGAAACTGTAGGAACTGGTGAACAAGGTTGAATAGGAGATGAATGACCACTGAAATGTGGAGAGTGTGGCAAGGGGGAATGTGATGGGATAGAGGTGGGATATGTATGTGACTTGTACATAGATTGAATATCAGCAGATAGCAGTCCCATGTCCAATCGAAATAATATATCATTAATATAACGCTGAGCTAAAGAAATCTCCACCCGGGGCCTCTTACAGGTTTTCATTTTATTTGCGACGAAATCCCCGAATGCTGAATTCTCATCTTTTCCAGAAACAATATGTGTGAGAGATTTCAGGCAGTTTACAGCTTCATTGACAGGGGAGTCTTCACTCTTCCGGGCACGTTTAGGAGGATTTCTTGGTGTTTGGAATGATTGGCCATGGTCCTCTTGTGCAATTTCGTTAATAGAAGTGTCTGCTTGGTCCTCAGTGGCTATTTGGTCCTCAGTGTTGACAGTCTGTGAGGTGTCCTGAAACAGAAAATAATTGTTACATTTTGTTCGAAAGTCTAAGTAGGAGTACCTCGAATTTAACAATATGAACTATATTGTCCCTTCAAGTTAAACCTCTTCATTAACAATAAATCCCCAGCTAATATTCGGGTACAACTTTGTCAATGATGATCATAGGTATTTAAATTTAACATTTTTGCTTGCTCAAATATTTCTATAAAAAAAATTTTCTTGCAGACACCATCTTCCGAAGCTGAATGGAGAACTGTTGTTCATGGATTTGAGACGGGATGGAATTTTCCACACTGCCTAGGGAGCATTGATGGCAAGCATGTGCAAATGGTCGCACCTGACCGTAGCGGCAGCTTGTATTATAACTACAAAGGCACCTTCAGTATAGTATTGCTTGGTGTTGCAGATGCCAACTACAACTTTTTGTACGCTGATGTTGGATGTCAAGGCCGCATTTCCGACGGGGGTGTTTTCAAGTACACCTCATTGTACAATAACCTAGAAAACAAGTCGGCCCATGTACCTAAATGTGAGGCATTGCCAGGTAGAACAGAGCCGGTACCATACATTCTAGTGGGAGATGATGCTTTTGCTATGTCCACGTACTTACTGAAACCATACCCTGGTTGTGCATTAGATATTCCTAAAAGAGTGTTCAATTACAGACTGAGTAGAGCTCGAAGAATTATAGAAAATGTATTTGGAATAATGTCATCTAAATTCAGAGTGTTTCTAAAACCAATGGCTTTACAGCCATGTAAAGTTGAATGTGTGGTGTTATCTTGCGTATATTTACACAACTATTTACGCAAGAATTCTGTTTCAAGACAGAACTACACGCCTCCTGGAACATTAGACTCCTATGATGCAGATGGTAATGTGATAGAAGGATCGTGGAGAAGAGACATTAATGAAAGGGATCGTTTGTTGGATTTGATGGCCATCCCTCGAAGAGCTTCAGCTAACGTACATAATATCCGTGATGAATTTTGTAGCTATTTTGTTTCTCAACAGGGAGCGGTGTCTTGGCAATATGATAATATCAGACATGTTGTACAATAATAATAAAGTATGAAAGTTACATCTCAGTATTGAAGTGCCACTTTTTTATTTACATACCTATGTCATAGAATGTTATTTATATATTGTGTACCTAATTAACAAAAGCAAAATCAAACAGCTAGAGAGAGCCGTGGTGTTTCACTTACCTCAAATTCATTGTTTCCACTCTTTGGGATTGCTTCCTCCAAATCTGTGTTACGGCTGCCTCTAGACTCATTAAATGGTAGTAAGAATAGCAAATATTCATATGCAAACCATGTAGACTTCTTAGGAGAGGCCCCACTACACTGTTTTATTTTTTTTCGCTCTCGGTTAAAAGAAGTTTTTAAATTATGTATTTTCTTTTCAATATCTGCCACTGTTGCCTCGTGCTTAGTGGCCAGTGATTGAAGCGCTAATTTTTTTTTGTCCCGGTTTTTGTATTCTGCAGAGGTAACATCCCAAAGGCAGCTAAATGCATGGTAATCTTCAATGAAACTTAGAACTTTGTCATTGGGCCACATTTCGATAATTAAACACACAGCCGACACACTTGCTAGCTGGAGAGACACTGATGAGATACGATTCCTATGTCTCGTCTACCGTTGCAGTTGTCGTACACACTAGGAAAAATTTGGGCAACGTGTCTAGCGTTGCCTGACGTAACCCATCGTGATCGGGAAACCATAGACATGCGATTTTGGTCTCTCAACGCAACCGTAGACAAGGATTGGTCTATACACATGTCTACGTAGACATTGCTAGACACGTCTCAGAGACCAAAATCGCGCAACGTGTCTACTAGTGTGTACAAGGCTTTATAAGTGTATTGTATGGAATCAGAGATGCAGATTGAGATCATGTATTCCCAACACTTGAGTACTGTATAGCTGTATAGGACCCCTACACCAAGCACAGCATTGAGGAGCTGGATTAACGCTAGGGAAGCCATATTTATTATTCACAATTATATGTATACACCTGGTATTACAATCCACATATAAGGAAACACCGATGAACATAGGCCTGTCCAAGACGTGAAGATAAGCACCCAGACTTACAGTTATGTACGAGATCACAAACAGCCTTATGGCCTTAACAAACAAGAATACCTGCAAGTAGCACATACATGTAGCACACAAAATTCACATGACAGCAAGTTCCATACCTAGCACACCAACACCAATCCTTACAAGCACTCATTCTTTTTTCTCATTCCCCTGTACTGTACGTGACAGGAACAGGCTACCTCAACTCTTAAAACCTTCACAGACAAATTCAACAAACGTATAACAAATCAAACATGTACACAAACACAACCACTTATACCTTAATCCTTTCTCCCACCGTCAATAACCGACCATATATGTGTGATATGTGCTTACCAACACCCTACACAATGATATTAAGAATGAAATGTGAGTATCCCAAGGTGAGTTTGTTAGGATAGTGTTGCACTCCTGGTTTAGATTTGGATTTGTGTTTCAGTAAATAGGCCTTTTCAGACATTTATTAGTAGATTAGTTCTGAAATCAGGGTATGTTTATTGATGAAGTTGAATATCTAAAGGCAGCTTTATCAGTAAAAATATATATATATAGGTACTCTTGTAGCATCTTGATTATCTTGAATGTATTCTGTCTGTCATTTAAAATACTGAGTTGCAAAAGTATGTGCACATATGTATATATATATATATATATATATATATATATATATATATATATATATATATATATATATATATATATATATATATATATATACATATATATACATATGTGTATATATATATATATATATATATATATATATATATATATATATATATATATATATATATATATATATACACACATATATATATATATATACACATATATACATATATATACACATATATACATATATATACACATATATACATATGTATATTTATGTATATATATATATATATATATATATATATATATATATATATATATATATATATATATATATATATATATATATATATATATATATATTATATATATATATTATATATATATATATATATATATATATATATATATATATATATATATATATATATATATTATATATATATATTATATTTATATATATATATATATATATATATATATATATATATATATATATATATATATATATATATATATATATATATATATTTATATACTCCTACTTATTTCATTTTGGGTTCTGTAATAATATCTACAAGTGCTAACTACAAGGGTAAGTCCTTAATTTGTCCTTTCTTTTCATAAAGATATAGTGCAAAATGACAGAGAAATGTATGCAACATTTTTACATAGGCCTAACAGTATGTGGTTCTTCTGGAACTTCAAGGACCATCAGAGGCTCCAGACCATATAGATAAAGAGCTGCCAGCACTATTGCCAGTGAAATATTTGAGGTGGAATTAGTGATCCAGACGATCTATAAATGAAACCATCACATGTAACATGTAATATGAATCTTCAGTTTTTTATTCCCATCTTTATCATCTTCATCTTCCTCTCCATCTTCATCTTCATCTTCATCTTCATGTCACCATCAGTCAACATCATCATCATGATTATTGTCATCAGTGTTACTGATGTTTCTGTGTTGTTATCATTAGCTACCATATTTTTTTTTAAATTCTTTATTATTATTATTATTACTATTATTACTATATTTAACAGAACTTTTTGTTTGCTTGTATACATACATTGCTTTCAGGCTTTGAATTCATTTCTTACTAGACAAGTTAAAAGATGTAATTTAAAAGAATATTCTCATCAGTGACACTTCCCACATACCAATATACACCTACTAACTTTTTTTCCGTTATTAGGTATTTCTATGTGTAGGGTACCTACAAAGTGTCACCATTTAAAGTTTGGCTTCACAAAATATGAGGGCAACAAGTTAAGAGCCAG